GAGTTAACTTTACAAATTTTAGGAGCAGAGGCTATCAGGACAGGAAAAAGGTGAGCAGAACAACTGATGATAAATGAAATGCTTGTGTAAAGACTGACTATCCTACAGAGAATTTTTTTTAATCCAATTTTATTTTATCTTTCCCATTAGCAATATTCCCCCAAAACAGGCAAGAAAAAGAAAGGGAAAAAAGGTTTCATTCTGTACCCTGAGTCTTTCAGTTATCCATCTGGAGGTGGATAATAGGATTTGTGTTCTTGTTGTGTCCCATCCCCTCCTAAGAGAATATAAGCTCCTTGAGAGCAGACTGTTTTACTAACGTCTCTGTGTACCTAGCACAATGGTTGGTACATATTAGACAATTAAATGCTTACTGAATGAAAAAATGCTAGAGACTTTAAAGTTTATTTGATTCTCTCTTTAATATGTCTAGTAGCACAGTATAATCATTCTTAAAGAACAAAAGCATTATGTAAGTTAATACTTTATCAAGTTTACTTAACATTTTATCTTCCACGGCAAACACTTTTTTCTGAATAAAAATGGAACTGAATATGAAAAGAATAATTTTGTTTTTAATATGATCTAATCAATTTATACTTAACCTAAGTACAACTGAGAATGTCTAGTGCATTTTGCCAAGTTTGAGAAAGCTTACTGAAGTTCATGAAGTCAAACAGTCATTGGGTATTTATTAAGCAACTACTATGTGCCAACTGCTAAGGATACATGTAGGAAGAATGAAATAAGCTTATATACTAATCGAGAGACAATAAATATTTACAGTATAAACATGAAGTTTATACATATACACAAAGTAGTTTTTAAATAAGGTACAAAGGGAGGAAGGGCACTAACAGTTGGGGGATCAGGAAAGGCTTCATGCAACAGGTGATGTCTGAGTTGTACCTTAAAATAACAAAGTGTTGCTATGAGGTAGAAGTAGGCAGGAACACATTCCAAGCATGATCATGTGCAAAGGCACAGAGATAGGAGACAGAGTGTCATGAGAGAATCCAGTTAGGGTGGGTTGCAGAATTCAGGATTTGAACTAATATCCAATGAGGCTGGCAAGGTAGGTTGAGGCCAAATTGTATGGGGATTTAAAAGTGAAACACAGGAATTTGTATTTTATCCTTTACAGCAATAGGAAGCCAATGGAGTTAGTTAAGTAGGGGAGTCACATGGTCAGAAACATTTTAAGAAAAATTCCTTTGGGAGTAGTGTGCAGGATGTACTGGAGTGGGAGAAGCCTAGTTGGGAGACTGTTACAATAAACTGGGTGAGAGGTAATGAGGGCTCTAAGGTGGTAGCCATGGAGAAGAGAGAGAGAGAGGGTCAAAGGAAAGAGATGATGTGAAGGTTGATATGGTAAGATTTGGCAACTTATAGCATATATGGCATATAGAAGAGTAAGCAGTTGAGAATAGTCTAAGATTATGAACCTGAGACACTGGAAGGATAGTAGTACCTTTGAAGGAAGTAGAGAAGTTTGGAAAAGGGGAGGGAGAATGATAATGAGTTCAATTTTAGACATGTTGAATTTAAGATGTCTCTGGAGACATTTGGTTTGACATGTTCAATATGCAATTAGTGATGTGGGGAAGAAGCACAGGGAAGAGACTGGGGTTGGACATATAGATCTGAGAGTTTTCTACACAGAGATGATAGTTAAACCCATGAGAGATAATAAGGTTGTTGAGAGTGTAGAAGGAGAAAAGGGCTTATGACAGAACCACAGTGAGGTTAGTGGTATGGCTAAGCCAGTAAAAGAAAGAGAAGGAATGGTCAGACAGGTAGGAAGTAAACCAGGAGAGTGCAGTGTCATGAAAATCTAGAGAAGAAAAAGTATAGAGGAGTAGAGACTAGTTAACAACAAGTAATAAGAAGACAGTAATAAAGATTAGTACACATTGACATTTATTAACAGCAAATATATTCCCTTAGTATTAGCCTTTAATAACAATCTACTCCTGCCCATCTGATGACAATACTGGATGATAATAATAGAGAGAAAGAGATGGCACCACATCTTCACTTCTGCCTCTTAGAATCCCTAGTGTCCTTCACCTTCAAGTGTCACATTCTAAATAAAGCCTTTCCTGATCCCACCTAGATGCTAATGCCTTCTCCCTACTTCTCCTCTAGCTAGAGGGCAGATTCCTTGATGAAAGGTATTATTCTACTTTTTTTGTTTTACTGTATCCCTAGAGCGTTTTATATTGTCTGGCAACATATTTATGTGTTTAATCAATGCCTCTTGATTGATTAAAGGAATTCAAGAATTCTGAGAGGTGGAAATGAGGAAGGAATGTATTTATAAGCTTAGAAGAATTATAAACTATTAATTTCTATGAATTACTATTTCAACCTTCCAGATTTTTACTTTTTTCATAATGAAGGCAGATAGTAAAACTTTCTTACTTGTACTCATTTACTTTTCATATTTGCTGGAACCAAGACAGCTTTCTCTTTGCATATTCATTCTTACCACAACTACACTGTTGCTACTGAGTTCTTTATCTTGATGACTGGCTGATTATGATCTCATTTTTGGAATTTCTCTCACCATGTCTTTTTCACATAAAAGTTACTCAGTTCACTGACATCATTTTTCTTCAAGTTGACTAGATAAGTTTTTGAATGATTGACTCAGATTTAACTTTCACATTCAAAGCCCAGCCTCTCACTTTGAAATTTAATCTCCTTTGATCTTGTGATTTAGATGAAAATAAATCATATTATACATCATGGTAATATTCCAAAAATGTATTTTATAAAACTACTTTATATTGCTTCATCCTAAAGAATAAAAAATAATGTACTTAATAAATAAGCAAGAGTTTCAGGGGTATCATTCAAGTTATAAATTCAAAACCAACACATGACTTCATGTTCTCTTAAAGATCCAAAAATATTTCATGAAAACTGCTGAGGTCTGAAACTATGATTACTTCATTGCCTTAATTTATGACAGTTATTTAGAATTCAGAGGATTTCCCAAATGAAAACCTTTTAAAAAGTATATTTCTAACTTTACTTTCAATTTTATTAAAATAAAAAGTAAACAATATCTAGTCACACAAATGTTAACCACTATGTATGCCATATCTCAACAAATTCTCAAGAGTTGATTAAAAACAAGAGAATATGGCTAAAGGAAAAGGAGATAGCCCCACATGAAAGTTCCATGATTTTAACACTATGTAATTCCCTTACCAACACAGATTTCAACTCCTGTACTTCTTACCATCTATGTGATTGTTGCTCATGCTCTCCCATAAATGTTTTATGCCACTTCTTTTCCTTAGTAACATCCTATACCCTGTAGGTACCTTTCTGTTATCCCTTAAATTATCTGTAATTTTAAGTCCTCTGAGATCAGACACATAATAGCAGTGGCAGAATATTCTAGAGGGAGTATAACATCAGTGATGCACTTGGAGTCTGGAGACTTAAGATCTATTACTACCTTTTATATTCACTAGCCGAGTGATTCTTATTGTACTAGTATTAAAAAGCTGAACTCTTGCCAGTTTCCCCATTTCCATTCAGTACAATCTCCTTCTAACTCCATTCCAATTCTAGCTAATTGTCAAACTGTAGTGTTTGTTCAAGATTACACAAACCAATGGACTAATGTGAAGGTTGAGTTACAATCTTGGCAGGACACAATTTTCATCCACTAAGTTTTTCTCAGGCTAGATGACCATTTCTTTCATGTGACTAGTAGTATTACAAAGGAAGCTTTGTAGTGATTCCAAGCAACTAGTTTGATGTTAATTATAAACAGCATCTGCAGAATCTCACTATAAATTAGAAATCCTTCTTTTATTAGGATCTTATAAAGGACATCTTCCATAACAATCACAACTTATTTCCCTATTTAACACTTTTCTTGATTTCAAGATCTTGACATAATATCTTCCTGTGGTAGAGTCTTAAAATTCTGACATATGGGAGAGAGCGCACCTTATCTGATAAGAGATTTCAAAGCTAAATTTTTCTACAAAATAAAACTTTATTAAAAATCAATAGAAAAAGGGGCATCTAGGTGGCGCAATGGATAGAGCACCAGCCCTGAAGTCAGGAGGACCTGAGTTCAAATCTGGATTCAGACACTTGACATCTACTAGCTGTGTGACCCTGGGCAAGTCACTTAACCCCACTGCCTAGTAAACAAAACAAAACAATAAAATCAACAGAAAACAATGGAATGTGATTATGAGTCTCCATAGCTCTGCCACTAGACCTCAAATCTGTTTCTTAAAGAGGGAGATGAATGAACTTTATGAAAGGAATCTGACAGATGTGTACTAGTAGACTTGTGGGGAAGAGACCATAGGTTTGAGAAAGAAGCAAAAGTTAACATAAGGAAAAAGGAAAGAAGGAGTTAGAATACATGTGGCAGGGAGGCTATATTTAATTTTTAGATATAACCAAGTCAAAAAAAATCTTATTCTTCTGCAAAATGTAGATAATTTGGAATTCATCTGATATATTAGTTAAGTACAGCAAACAAAAAGAATAACCATATGGACCTAAATGAGAAGAGTTGAATGCATAGAATCATAAAACAGATCTCAAAGATCATCTCTAATCTCACATCTTTCAATTTAAGATTATTACATTAAAATTACTGACAAAGTTTTCAGCATTGTATGCCTCAGGAAAGTATACAGAAAAGGAAGAATTAAATCTATCTGAAAAAAAAATGTTTCTACAATCTTTTCAGATTGAGTTTTTGTTTATCATGGAAGAAATGAACTTTCTCTTGTCTGCTTCAGCGGGTATTACATTTGAAGCTCATGTCAAAACCAATGCTAAACGGAATAAAAACACATGCATACGACAAGTAAAATGTTCAATGCAAGTACTCTGAACACTTTAATGTTATCCTCTGACAAAAAAATTTATTTTTTTCCTACTAATATAAAAAAAATCTTTAGACTAAATAAAGAAGTGTAACTTAAGAATATTAATATTTCATCCTCACTTACCCTTGCATAGTGCAATTCAACTCCATATAGTTCTAAGGTTCGAGCTGTGTTGAGATAATTGAATTCTGCTTCTGCAGGAGATAAGCCTCTGTAAGAACAACACTAGATTAAAAATCAGCTAAGTCTCAAATATAGATATGCTTTGTATATATGATATTTTCCAAGAAATTTAAAAATGCCTTGATACTTAAAATTTATTTGAGCCTCCTATGATTATCATTTAATGACAAATTTAATCTTGTATAGAACGAAACTACACTCATCCTAATGTGAAAATCTCAACTACTGGAACACTTAAGAACCAGGAAGGTTTTTGTTGTTGTTTTTTAAAAGGCCTTGGCTGCTAAAATACCTAGCTTCAATATAAGTTAAAGAACAGTAAGGGCCATTACTGTGTTTTAGGCACTCACAGCCATGGATCTATTAGAGCGAGAAAAGACCTCAGAAGCCATTTAGCCCAACACCCTTATTTTACAGATAAAGAAACTGAGATCCAGAAAGATTAAATGACTTGCCTGTGGTCACATAGGCAGTGAACATCAGAGACAGAATTTACAAAGAAATAGTCAAGTTAAAATGAGGGTGTATGGAATAAAAGAAAACAATGCCTTAAAACTATGCCACTGTGGATTTCCATTCAGAGATTATATGTAATTTTAGCAACCCTAATTATCAGATGCTTCAATCAACAGCATATTAAAAGCCATAAACTAGGAAGGAAAATGCATAGAGGCAGAAACAAGGATAAATGACAACTGACAGGCACCTTCCAAGGAAGGATATAAGGAAAATTAATATATCATAGTACTGTATAACGACTAAAGGGTCATAAAGATGATCTTGAATCTTCAAGAAAAATCCTATCTTAGAAAGATTTCAGTTCAAATGATTAAGAAATTTTTAATGGGCACATAAGCTTCATTTACCTGAAAAATGCACTTATATCAGATTTACTGACAATGTCTAAATATATTAAGTAGACAACTATTTCAAAAATATCTTCCCAAAAATCAAGTAATTAAAAAAATACTTTAGCGTCTACTTTTAGTGTCCACCCAACTATATAAACCTTTTTGAGACTTTACATTTTTACGAAATTCTAAAAATCAGGTGTATTAAAAAATCTATACATTTGTATTTGTCAAGTTATCTAAAAGTTATTTTTCTACGTAGGGCTGTCTTTGAAACATTTTTTTTTTCTTTTTTAAGGCAATTGGGGTTAAGTGACTTGCCCAGGGTCTCACAGCTAGTAAGTGTCAAGTGTCTGGTTTAAGGTCGGATTTGAACTCAGGTCCTCCTGACTTCAGGGCCGGTGCTCTATCCACTGTGCCACCAGCTGCCCCCTAGACTGTCTTTTAGAATACAAATTTCTGAACAGGACAACACCAAGTGTCCAGAAAGAACTTATCCATTATATTTTTTTCATCCCATGGATGTACATATGGTACTATAGATAGCAAAATATGTATTTATATTGTTTAACATATATAATATATTATATAAAATATAGATTTAGCAAAGCGATAGAGGGTTACTTTTCTTAGTTCTCCCATTAGTCTTACATTGCTTGCTTGCTATCATATACAAAAATGAAACAACAATACACAATTTGATTTTAAATTATAGCTTAACCAAAAAAAACATTTATGCAACAATAGTTAAGTGTCACAAATATTTTACTTGAAAATCTACAAAGATAACATGCAGTGAAAATTATATCTTAAAAAAAATAATGTTACTTATAAATTTAGCATCACTTAATATTTTTTTTCTTTATTTTCTTCTTGGTTCTGTAAAAAAGAAAACCAAGAACTTGCAAATAACTGCTAATGAGGAATGATATGAAATGTCCATTATATTCCATCATACTTTGTTAAGAGTATATATAAATATTTGAAGTAAATGATGCATTTATTTAAAAACTATCAACTTTAAACTGCGTAAAAGAATATTTTTGTTTAAATAAAGCTGGTATGTTAGAAGTGATGTTGGATTTGTTTTATCACTTCTCAAATGATGCCTCATTTTATTTCCAGTTCTTTCCTAAAACAAAAGTGTTACCATAAATATTTGTACATATAGGTCTTTCCCCTTTTTGAAAAAGTCTTTTTGGGGAAGAGTATGAATGGTTTAGTGACATTTTAGATTAAGCTTCAAATTGATTTCCAGGAAGCTTGGAGCATTCCACAGGTCTAGCAACAGTGCAATGGTAGGCCTGCTCTCCCACAGCCTTTCTCATAATTGTGTTTATCCTCTTTGGCCATCTGCATCATTCTGACAGGTATAAGGCTTAATCTCAGTTGTTTTAACTTACAATTTCTTTTAATATTAGTGATTTGGAGCATTTTTCCATTTGGTTATTGATATCTTGCATTTCTTCTTTTTCTAAACTGCTTATTCATACCTTTTTCTAATTGGAAATGGCTCTTTTTCATATATATTTGAATCAATTACCTACATATCTGAGGTATCAATCCTTTGTCATAAATTTATTAAAAATACTTTAAAAAAAAGTTAGCTGTTTCCCTTCTAAATTTAACTGCATTTATTTTGTGCATTTATTTTCAATTTTATACAAATTGCCTGTTTTATCTCTATTAGCATTCTTTTTTAAATGGTGACATTTTAAATAATGTGTACAAACTCAACAGATTTTAAAGTATCTGTGCAGCACCATAATAACTGTAGTTAATAAAAAGACACAAATTACTCCGATTTCACTAAATAAGTACAAATTCTAAACTTACATATGTTGCTGATGCAATTTTGTGATTTCTTTTTCAAAGTCTGGAGGCTGACCAGGGATGAAAGAATAATCAGAGAGGTAGCCTGGCAAGTTTTCTGAATGGTCGTAGTCTCCCAATTCAGCTGCCAAAAGAAAATACTCACATTTTAATTTAGAGATGAATCTCTTATTTAATACAACTATATAGGAATTAAAATAATTTTTGTAAGGAAAAAAATTTCACTATGGCAAATAACAAGTATCTGTCCATGTTATTCTTCAACCTACATTTTACCTTAATCTTAAGGTATATTTCACTGGTTTTCGTATTGAAAAATCTGTTGGGTTTTTTTAATAGGGTAATGATTTTGTAGGACACTAAGAACATAAAATGAATCAATGAAAAACATTCATTAAGTGCTTACTATGAATAAAATATTGGGAACCTAATACACATGAGACAAAGGGAAAAAAACACAACTATGTATTATTTTCTAGTTTGGGAGACTGAAAAATGTTAGGTAAATATATGATTACAATACTTACACTGAATAGCAAAGGAAGCCAAAAGGGCAGCAGTATTATAAGGACAGGGCAATCTGATAAAAGGAGAAGATATTTATTACAATCTTTTAAAAATCCTCACAGTATTTATATTTCTATTTCAAAATACTGATTTGAATTTCGAGAGACTCAGTCTTTAATTTTTAGCTTCAAAACAAGAATACTTTCTTAAGACTCTTTGGTAAAATCCATATTGTGCTTTCCTCATCTCTTTCTAAATGTGAACTTCTGAAGACAATAACCACACCATTGTGCATGTAAGGTTGCCAAGTGGCTAGCATTAGATCAGTCTAGCTTGAATGTTATCAAAGATGATGGGAGGCACTCTTAATAAAGTGTCATAGTTTGGTCTTTTAAAATTTTGGTAATGCTTTTTCTGTCGCAGGTAGCAGGCAGTATGTGCATTATTTATTCTGTTATAACATTTTTATACTGGTGCAGTGGACAAGAGGGATGGATTTGAAGTTGGCAAGGCCTGGGTTTGATTTTGGTGTCAGATACTTAATAGCTGCAAGATCCTGGGCAAGTTGATTAACATCTCTTATCCCCAGTCTCACCTATAAAATGGGGATGTGAATAGCACCTACTTGACAGTTTTGCTGTGGGGGGAAGGGGTCGTCAAACAAGATCAAATAATCAACTAATAAAATCTAGTAAGCACCTATTATGTTCTAGCTAGGCAAAGTGGTCAGTGCTGGAGATAAAGATCTAAAAAAAATGAAACAATTTCTACTCTCAAACAGCTTACATTCTAACAGGGGTGACAACATCCATCCTTCCATTTCTCTATCTATTCATCCACACACATCCATACATATAAGCATATAAAGAATACATACAAATTAGGTGGGCATTAGAAGTTGGGGGAGGAATCAAAAAAGGCTTTGTACAGAAGGTTATTCTTGAAGGAAGAGATGGCTTCTGGGAAGTAGTGGTAAAGAAGGAACGTATTCCAGGGATAGGAGATGGTCAGCACAAAGACAAGGAGATAGGAAATGGAGTACTTGGGAGATGAAGCCATTATCACTGGACCACAGAGTGTGAGAAGAATAATGTACAATGAGATTAGAAAGATAAGGTGGAGCCAGGTTGTGGAGGGCTTTAATAGCCAAATAGACTAGTTTATATTTGATCTCAAGGAGCAAGTGGAATTCACTGAGTAGAGGACAAATATGGTTAAGATGTGTGTTTGAGGAAATCAGTTTGGTAGATTTATGGAGGATGCCCTACAGTGGTGAGAGACTTGAGATAGGGAAACCAATTAAAAGGCTGCTGAAATAAACAGGAGATGGGTGATGAGTGCATGAACTAGGGTGGTGGTCATATAAATAAAGAGAAGGAGTGAAAGGAAGAACTTAAAATTTGGTAACTGACTAGATATGTGGGGTGAGGGAGAATGAGGAATTGAGGACAGTAACTAGGTTATAAAGTTGGGACAATGGAAGTGTGGTACTTTCAAAAAATAGGAAAGTTTGGTAGAGGGGATAGGTTTTGGAAAGAAAAAAATGATTTGGTTTAAGACATGTTGAGTTTGAGGTAATTCTCGAACATCTAGTTGAAAATGTCTAATAGGAAGTTGGTGATATTGGACTAGAATTCAATGGACAGAATAAGGCTGTATAGAAAGATGTGTTATCTGCATAGAGATAATTATTAAAAACCATGGGAATTGGTGACATTAATGAGAAAGAGTGTGGAGAGTGAAGAGAAGAAAGTGTCATAGAGAATCTGGACAGAGATAATGTATATAAATCACTTTGCAAACTTTAAAACCCTACAGAAACATCAACTATTTTTAAATTAAAGAGAGGAACAGAATAATATTTAAGATTTTGCATTCTGATAAATTTTAAACATAAAACTATAGATGTCAGAATACTTATGTAACTAATCAGAAAATTTAAAAAAATAATTTTACCACAGGATTCAAACACAGCTTACCTTCCAGTAAGAATGTCTTGTTTAATTTGCAAAAAATACTGGTATCTTTAAAAAGAAAAAGAGAAAATGACAAACTAACAACATATAATTAATGAAAAAGGCAACTTTTTATTTCAAAGTACATTTACTCTAACAAACAAAATTAAAATAAAAATTAATCATTTGGCTTTTTAATCTTACATATTGAGATCTGCATACATACATTAACAAAATATTAAAACCATATTGGGTAACTGTGGGAAATTTATTCTGACAGACCACTAAGTTTAATGTAAAGAAAGAAAATGTTTTCTTGAAAAGCTCCCTGGAAAGTAAAACTTTACACACTGAAGCATAGACTCCTACGAACTTCCATCATAAAACTGAAAAAAATTTCAAAAGCGTTGCCAATAGGGGACAATGGTAGGGATAAATGACATGGGGTTAATGGCTCCCCAGGTAAGGTACAAGATTTAGAGAATACTGTACACAGCAAGAGAGAACTAAAGTGCCAGATGTGGCAATATATTAGTCAGAAAATCATAGATAATTGGCATCATTTCTTTTGCAGAGAGAAAGAGGACTTGAAGAGCTAAGCAAGGAAGCTTATATTTTATCCTATAAGCAAGAGAAAGCCACTGGGGTTGGTTGAATATGAGTCACATGGTCAGATTGGCAAAATCACTTTGGTAGCAGCATGCAGGGTTACCTAGAGTGGGAAATGACTTGAGGCAGAGACATTCTTTAGGAGGCTGTTGATACAGCTTAGGAGAGATGTGATGAGGAAGTGAATGAAGGGGGAAGGAGCTGTGTGAATGGAGAAAAGGGATTTGATGCGAGAGAGTTGACAGTTCTACTGTTCTGTAAAGCTGGTCCTCTGTGACATCATTCTAACTTCCAAAATAGGTTACTGTGATGTCACAGTGTTTAAGATTTTCAGGAAGTAATAAATAGAAGAGTAAACTCTAATAATATTTACTGTGTATGTAACATCTTTGTAGAAAAATGAAGAGAAACTTGTCTAATACTTTTAATTTATTTAATTTTTCAACTAAGGTTTAATGTACAAAAATTATCCACTTTCTCATTCTAATTAGGACAATTTTATTTTGTTTTTATCAGGCCAAACTTTTCCCCAGTAATTAAACACAGATGTTCTTAGTGAGAGTCAATTTTTGGGTTAAGAGTTGAATATTCATCTACACCTCTAATAAACAGTAGTAAAATGTTCTATCTATACATGAGATGGAGACGAAGTGTCACTGTGGCGAGGGTCCTTATGGTTAGGAAGACAAGTTGAAGTTCACTCAATGATGCAACTGAGTATGTGAATGTACTGTTTTTAAGTCGTTTTTCAGATTGTGTCCAACTCTTTGTGTCCCCATTTGGGGTTTTCTTGGCAAAGATACTGGACTGATTTGCCATTTCCTTCTCTAGCTCATTTTACAGAGGAAGTAAAGCAAAAAGGGTTAACCAACTTGCCCAGAGTCATACAGCCCTGAGGCTGGATCTGAACTCAAGAAGATGAGTTCCAAGTCCAGTGCTCTATCCACTGTGCCACTTAGCTATTTGACTATAAGCAAATCACTTAACAAATCCACGTCCCTAGGCAATGCTCTAAGGCTCTAATTTAACAGACTAGTCGAGGATTTGCACAAGTTAGAGGGAGTTTTCACATTCAAAGTTTCTCACACTGATGAAATCACAGGTTTAGACTCAAAACTGAAATGTACTTCCTAGTTTTTCTTAGCATGGTCAGTAATATACAAGGAATCAAGTAAAAGGCAATTTTGAAAAAGACCTTTTAAAAGTCAAACTAATAAACGACAAGGCAAATATGAAACATCTCAGGTTTAAACACACTGCCAATTTCTAAACCACATAGCAACCCCATGTACCAGTTTTTGACAATATCTAGTATTTAATGACAATATTAGTATTTAATGAGCACCTGCTGCATACAGAGCCTTATTTTAGATACTATAAAGGGATTTAGATACTATAAAGGGACAAAAAAGAAATTATATCATACTTAGAATTATCACTTCTAAAAACCTTTTAAAAACTTCTAAAAAACAGAACCTTCTGTTTTTAGATAGAGAGCTGTCATGTATTTTCCCTCCAGAGAGGTATCTTTTCCCTGCTGGAAGTCCTATTATTGCCACTAGTCTCAGTCAGAGGGGATGTAATGATGGTGGTAAAATTCTCATTCTGTAGAATCTGAAAGTCAAGATAAACTAAGTAATCACAGAAGCCTAGCAGTAGCTTTTGTCACACACGAAAGTCATTGGAGAATCAATATCAGAAGTCTGAACTAAATGAAAAACTGCCTGAAAACTGAAGTAGCAGTACCTGAAGTAGTAGGTAATCAATCAAGTACTAGCTACAAGATTTCCATGATAAACTGTGGTTACTTTGAATGGAATTTCTCTCTCTTCCTATTGGATTTCGTTAATAATATACAGAAACGCTGATAATTTTTATGGGTTTATTTTATATTCTACTATTTTAACAGAAGGTATTATTTATTTCAATTAATTTTTAGTTGAATCTGAAGGATCCTTTAAGTGAACAATAAAATCATCTACAAATACCAGTGATTTTGTTTCTTCCTTGCCTACATGTATTCCTTCAACTTATTTTCCTTATCTTACTGCCACATCAAAGATTTCAGGAACTACATTTATTAACAGTGAGCACAATGGACAATACTTTGTCTGTGATCTTATATAAATTATCTGGTAGTCGTCTTACCAAGATATACTCAGGACTTACATGATGATAACTACAAAGTACTCTTTACAAAAATAAAAGTCTTAAATAATTGAAGAAATAATAATTCTTTATGGTTTGGCCAAGCTAATAAAATATTTTATTTTCATTTCTTTTCATTCTGAACTTAAACACTGAATCAAATGTGCATTTCTAAATATACTGTTAGAAGAGAATATTATACATGAAACTATGAATCCCATTTATATAGGGTTTCATTTTTTTTTTTTAGGCACACAATAAATTCTACATTTAACTTTTAAAATCATCCTGCTTTTCTGTAATGCCTTTTGGTCTTTCTACTAACCCTATTACTAGCTGTCTTTTCTCTCCCATCTATTCTCTCTCCAATTAAAAAACAATCCTTGTACCACATATAAATAGTAAAGTAAAACAAATTATTGTATTGGCTACATCCTAAAATTGCATGTCTTGTAGTACATTTTGAGTTGATCACCTGTACTAGCAAGTAGGTAGTATATTTCATCATGAGTACTCTAGAACCGTGGCCAATCAAACAGAACCAGAAGAATTTATACAATTAACAATAACACTGTAAAGAGAAATAGCTTTTAAAAGCTTAGAATTCTCACTGTGTTCTGCACTGGTTCTCTGTAACCATTTTTTAAAAAATATTTTCTTATTGTGCAATGACATTTCATACCATACTATATATTATATTTTGTTCAACGATTCCCCAATTTGAGTTCCTTTGTAGTTACTATTTTTTTTACCACTACAAAAAGAGCTATTGTGAGTATTTTGGTTCATGAATCCTTTATGTTTTTGAGTTCCTTTTTTGGGCATAGGCCTAGCATCAAATTCTCTGGGTCACAACTTTGGGGGAATAGTTCCAAATGGTTTTCTAGAATGGTCATGCCAATTTATAGCTCCACTGCATCTAAGGTACCTCATGTCCTATAATCTCTCCAAAATTTGTTTTTGTTTTATTTGTCATCTTTGCCAAATGGAGGAAGACACATCCTTAGAAATGTTTAATTTGCATTTTTCTATTAATGATTTGGGAGTTTTTTTTTCATATACTAGTTGACATCTTGAATTTCTTTGATGACTGCCTATTCATATCCTTTGATCATTTGCTTATCTGAGATAATGAGTTAATCTAATCAAAATAACAACACTGCTTAATTTACTCATTTAGCATCACAGCAATCAAACTACAAAAGAGTTACTTTGTAAAACTAGATAAAAAGGTAACAATTCATCCGTAGCAACAAAAGGTCAAGAAGAGCAAAAGGAACAATGAAGGAAAAAGTCTCAAGCTACACTAATAATTAATTTTCAACAAAATTTTCACATTTGAAATATTCATCAAACTATTCAAAAAGCTGATGAATGGAATAAATTAGGTAAACAAAGCTGAGAAGGAATAAAATATATTAGCATATTATATTTGATAAATCCAAGGGCACCAACTACTTGAGCAAGGACCTCCTATTTGACAAAAAGCACTAGGAAGAATGAAAAACAGTCAGACTAACACTGCACAACTTACACCACAAAAAACTCCAGTTGGATCCATGATCTAAATAAAAAGGGTCAAATCATAAACAAATTAGAAAATATCTTCAACAACTATGTATGGCAATTCTTACCTAAAATAAGGGATTGAGGTGATCATAAAAGATAAAATGGACAGTTTTGATTACATAAAAGTGAAAAGCCTATGTATATTCAATAAAAAAATAACATTAAAATAAGAGGGAAAACATTTATTTATTTATTGGGTGGGGGGGGAGAGGCAATGGGGTTTAAGTGACTTGCCCAGGGTCACACAGCTATTAAGTGTCAAGTGTCTGAGGCCAAATTTGAACTCAGGTCTTCCTGAATCCAGGACCAGGTGCTCTATCCACTGCACCACCTGGCTGCCCCCGAAAACAATTATTTGTAAAAAATAATCTTAGCAAATTTCTTAGGTAAAAGCACCTAACAGTAAATAAGATATACAAAGAACTGAAACAAATTTGTAAGAAAAAGAGCCATTCCCCACTATATATAAGCAGGCAAAAGATATGAAAAGGCAATTTTAAAATGAAGAAATGTAACCATATGAAAAAGCGTTCTAAATCATTACAGTTGTGGACTATTCTGTACAATATTTGAAACTATACCCTAGCGTCATTAAACTATATATCTTCTGACCCAGCAAAACCACGACTAGGCATTCCCAATGAAGGTCAAGTACAGAGGGAGGGAAAGGACTCATGCATACAATAATATTTGTAATAGCCCTTTGTTGTAGCAAGAAACTGGACTAAAATGGGTGTTTATCA